ACACACACACACTTAGGGAGGTGGGAGGACCTGGGGGTGGGCGTGGCCAACATACAGACCAGAGAGATGGGCGTGGCCTGGAGGTGGGCGTGGCGGATGCAGAGACAAGGGAGGTGGGCCAGGCCTGGAGGTGGGCGTGGCCGGCAGGAAGCCAGGGTCTGAGCCACTGGTGCAGGCAGAGGACCTGGGCGCTCTGCAGAGACCCACGCAGGAAGCAGGGCAGGACCGCAGGCCCTGGCCCACGGGAAGCAAAGCACAAACCTCTGTCACCTTCCCCTGTCCAGAGGATGAGAACCATCAGCTGCAAGCAGCCCGTGATGGAAATAATGGAATCAAATCAAATCAGATCAAAATACCCAGGCGTGGGTCTCAGTCTCACTGCTGGAGCTCCGGGGCTTCACCCCCCTGTACGTGGGGTGTGGGGGGAGGGATGGGAGGGGTGGAGGACAAGGCCCAACTCTGCACAAAGACTTATGTGAAACTAAACCACCACAATCTATCTATCTATCTATCTATCTATCTATCTATCTATCTATCTATCTATATCTTTAGATATATATATCTTGGTCGTGGGGCTTGAACTCTGGGTCTGGACTCTATCCCTCAGCTCTTCAGCTCAAGGCCAGTGCTCTACCACTTGAGCCACAGCGCCACTTCCTGTTTTCTAATGGTTTATTGGAGATAAAAGTCTCACACACTTTCCTGGCTTTGAACCGTGATCCTCAGATCTCAGCCTCCTGAGTAGCTAGGATGACAGGCATGAGCCACCGGGTGCCTGGCCATAATCATGATATATATTTTTTTATATTGAGTTCTCGTGGGAATGATACTTTGGATATATTTCATTAAAGAAGATAGGATATGATGGGCTGGGAAGGTGGCTCAGTGGTAGAGTGCTTGCCTTGCATGCCTGAGGCCCTGGGTTCGATTCCTCAGCAGCACATAAGTAAAAAGAAAAAAGCCAGAAGTGGCACTGTGGCTCAAGTGGTAGAGGGCTCGCCTTGAGCTGAAGAGCTGAGGGACAGCGCCCAGGCCCAGAGTTCAAGCCCCATGACCGGACCCCCCCCAAAAAAAGAAGATAGGATATGAATAATACCAACAGGACTGGTTTCCTTTTTACTTGGAAATTGTAAGTTTACTCATCAATGACCTGAGTGGCTGCAGTTCCTCTTGGACACTGCTATTAAGGTGATGGAATGAGGCTGGGTGCCAGTGGCTCGCGCATGTCATCCTAGCTACTCAGGAGGCTGAGATCTGAGGATCACAGTTCAAAGCCAGCCCGGGCAGGAAACTCCATAAGCCTCTTATCTCCAATAAACCACTCAGAAAACCAGAAGTGGCACCGTGGCAGAGCAGTTCAACTTGAGCTGAAGAGCTGAGGGACAGCGCCCAGGCTCTGAGTTCAAGCCCCACGACCGACCAACAAAAACAGATGACAGGACTGTATCTCTATTTACCTGTTGTTTTCATCCCATGGAGGTATCTTCCCATAGAGTCCGGATATGGACTGGAGCCGAGGAAACGGGGGTTCAAATCTCAGCTCCCTCTCCCAGATCAGCCGCCCCCGTCCCTGCTCCCTACCACACCCTGGGTCGCCCCTCTCCCGGAGGTTAACCCTACCTGTTGGCAGCTGCTGCTCCACGAAGCCCGCAGGGCGTCCCAGCCTCCCGAGCGCTTGGCCTTGCTCTCCAGGTGCGTGCGCAGCTGTGTCTCCAGCTCCTGGCTGATCTGCTCCAGGGCATGCACTTTGGCTATATAATCCACCAGGCAGCCCCCCAAGTCCTCCACCTCACGGTGGTCTCTTTCCAGGCCAGGGGCCGCTACCGAGGTCAGACCTGAGCTCCGCAAGCCCTGCAGGAAGACACTGCTAATCCTCAAAGCCCGGCGGGTGACTCGAGCCCCCAAACCCCCTGTGTACCCACTGGGGGCGGTCCCCACATAGACCCCAGGGGCCCGGCCAAGGCTCCCCATGATGCCTGTCCTGGAGGCTGGGGGGCTGTCCAGAGAAGAGGGGGGCCTTGTCCCCCTAAGGGATGAGGCCCTGCGTCTCTGGAGAGGCAAATCAACCACCACCCTCTTCTCACTCATCTCTCTCTGTCTCTGCAGCTGCCACCCGGCTTTCCCAGCCCCTGATCCATCCTCCCCCCCCCCCCCCCCCCCCCCCCCCCCCCCCCCCCCCTTCCCCTGTCCCCGCCCCCATGGTGTCCTGGTCACGAGTCTTTCTAGAAGCTTTCCCCCATGTCCCGAGGCTCTTTGTCTTGCTGAGGTCCAGGAGTTTCTGTCATCATTCACTCAGCTGAAAGAGGAGAGGCCGGCCAGGCACACTGGGCATTGTCTGATGGCAGGGTCACGTGTCCAACCTTCCAGATTGTTCTGAGGGGGAGGGGAGATGGGAAAGGGCTGGGTCAAGCCCAGGCCCTGGGAGGGGATACCCTGGGTTTTATGAGTTTCACCTCCTAAGACAGCAAAGCAGATGCAGAGCTGTCCCATTTCACAGGCCAGTAAACTAAGGCTCAGGGAGCAGAAGGGGCGAAGTGTTGTAATTGTGCCTCCAGCAGCTCACATCTCAAGCTGGGACTCCACGGAGGGAGTTCAAGTTCAAGTCCAGGGCCTCTCGCATCCTTCCATGGGATGGCATGCATCTAAAGGTGCACACGTATCCGCAAACAATGGAGGGGACATCCGATATGGGTCCCCCTGCCCCATACATCCTGGGGTTTGAACTCAGGGCCTGGCACTGTCCCTGAGCTTCTTTTGTTCAAGGATAATGTTCTACCACTTGAACTCCAGCACTACTTCTGGCTTTTTCTTGGGGAGGGGCTGGCCAGCTGGCTTCAAACCACGATCCTCAGATCTCAGCCTAAGATTACAGGAGTGAGCCATGGGTGCCCGCCCGGCTGACTTCAACGTTCTTTTAAAAATGAAAAGAATGAGAAGAATACAAACTGTATTAGGCACATAATCCTCTGGGTAATAAAATAAGTTTATTTATATATACATGGTAACTGAATTCTGTGGGTATGGAAAAATAAATCATACATCCACAAATGTATATATAACATATGTATCTCTGATGACATATATTATATATAAATTTTACATTTACAAACAGAGATCTCTCTCTTTCTCTCCATATATATACTCACACACATATGGATAACAGTCCATGTAACAGCAAACAGAAATATCACAGTAAGGTTATGAAGATCGAACGGCGACATTGAACCTGCTTCTTTGTGGGTTGAAGCCTTTGGAGAGGGATGAACAGCAACCTCGTGCGAAGTCGGTGCGTACAACGCTGAAAACACAGCGTTTTCGGAAAAGCCATCTCTCATGTTACAAAGCAAAATGGAAAGTAAGTCATGGTAAGACCGCCTACAGCCGTGACACAAATGTGAGCCAACATTCAATTCCATTTCCCAATCTGACCGTAAGAACCTCTATATTCAAAATAGACTATCAAACTATTATTATTTATTATTTTTCTTTTAGAGATAGGAAGAGTCAAAGCAGTTCCATTCTTTCCTAACTGCTATTTGTTGGGGAGCGGGGGAGGGTTGAGGTGGGAGGGAGGAAGGTAGAGAAGTAGCTGCCTTTCGGAGCCCTTCTGGCGCCTCTGAAAGTCTGACCCCTGGTGGCTATGGTAGAGATAACAGGGACCGGGAAGGTGGCGCTGGTCCGGGGTGGGGGGAAGCAGGGGAGGAGAAGGTTCAGCAGCCGGTTTGTGGTGCTTTCTTTCAAGCCATCAACTCTGGCCATCTGGTTTTGGTAGGATAGCAGAGGGCAGTTTGAAAGGTGATTTTTATTCTCCCTTTTGCCAGTACTGGGGCCTTAGCTTTTTTTTTTTTTTTTTTTGCTCAAGGCTGGCACTCCACCACTTGTACACAGAACCATTGGTATTCTACCATTTCCTTCCTGGTTTTTGTTTTGTTTTGTTTTGTTTTTTTGCTGATGAGCTGGAGATAGGAGTCTCAAGGACTTTTCTGCTGGGACTGGCTTTGAACTGTGATCCTTGGATCTCGGCCTCCCTGAGTAACTAGGATGACAGGCGTGAGCTACCAGTAGCGATGCTAAAAGTGCCGATTTTATACTTTAAGATTTAGCCGAGCTAAACCCAACACCCAGAGGACGTAATACCGTCACCTTTGAAGCTACAAAGCTAAATCGCCCTTAAGAAGAACAGGCAAGGGGCTGGGAAGGTGGCTCAGTGGTAGAGTGCTTGCCTTGCACGCGTAAGGCTCTGGGTTCAATTCCTCAGCATCACATAAGCAGAAAAAAGCCAGAAGTGGCACTGTGGCTCAAGTGGTAGAGTGCCAGCCTTGAGCTGAATTGCTGAGGGACAGCGCCCAGGCCCAGAGTTCAAGCCCCATGACCGACAACAACAACAAAAGAACAGGCAAGCATTATTTCATACAAATAGGGGTGCTTCCTCAAGAGACCTCTGCCTTCACCTGCTCTGGGCTCCTAGAACCCCAACCCCCCCAAGAGATGCAATCAATTACAACTGCTTTGATTAGAAATACCTTTATTATTATTATTATTTTTTATAAAGCCATGGGTCATTCTGCAAAGATTTTTGTTTTGTTTTTTTTCATTTTGTTTTAAACCACACTTATAAAAAAGATGTTGACAATTCTCAGGAGGAAAAAAAAAGCTGAAAATGTTTCTCATTAAGTCAAGATTACACAAAGGTTATGTTTATAATATATATATATATTTGTATATTTATAATTTTAGAGACGAAAATAAAGCAGTGGTAAAGCGAAGGCTGTTGCAGTTAGATCTCAGAGACTTGATCGTTTCCTACAAATAGCGTTTCCTGACAGAAGGGGTTCACAAGGACCATCCCAGTGTCCCTGTAGTCGCCGTTGGCCGGGGAACGGGGCTCCGAGAGCTGGTCCTGGGAAGAGACGGAGACCATGTTCTCAGCCCAAGTGGGCGGGGAGCACACATGGAGCATGCGCAATGTGGTGGAATGAGGACCATGCCTGGGTGATCTATAGGACAGTGTCCCCCATATATCCACTAGCTCTTCCAGCATCATGAGCTCAGGGAGTTTTTCTTTTCCTTTTTCTTTTTTTTTTTGTCGGTCATGGGGCTTGAACTCTGGGCCTGGGCGCTGTCCCTCAGCTCTTCAGCTCAAGGCCAACGCTCTCCCACTTGAGCCACAGCGCCACTTCCAGTTTTCTGGTGGTTGATTGGAGATAAGAGTCTCACGGACTTTCCTGCCTGGGCTGGCTTTGAACCGTGATCCTCAGATCTCAGCCTCCTGAGTAGCTAGGATGACAGGCGGGAGCCACTGGTGCCTGGCCAGCAGTATTTCTCTTAAAGCAATAAGGACCCTAGCGAGTTGGGAGGCAAATGGTGATAAAATCCACTTTGAAGTGAAACCAAACTTTTGGCTATGGGGTTTGTGGCTGAGCTCCTCCAGTTAAGTTTCTTTCTTTCTTTCCTTCTTTTCTTTGACTTCCTTCCTATTTTCCTTTCTTTCTTTATTCCTTCCTTCCTTCCTCTTTTGGGTCAGTCATGGGGCTTGAACTCAGGGCCTGGGCGCTGTTCCTGGGCCATTTCTTTCAAGGCTAAGCCTTTACCACGTTTGAGACACAGCACCACTTCCAGCTTTTCCTGTGTATATGGTGCTGAAGAATCAAACCCAGGGCTTCATGCATGCTAGGCAAGCACTCTACCACTGAGCCACCTTCCCAGCCCCTGACCCTGGTGTGTGAGTGACACTTGGGTTCAGGCCCCAGAATCTGAGACCCCCTGGGAGCGAGCTTTGCTCTCCATGGTCCTCCATGCTGGGGCTGCTTCACCTTGCCCGCCCCCCTCCACCCACCCTGTCCTGGCCCCCAGTGGAGGAACCGTGTGTGTGTGTGTGTGTGTGTGTGTGTGTGTACCTGGCGAGTACCTCCCCGGCTGGATTACCTCTGATGTCTCCAAGGACTGGATCTCCCTGGGCAGCTCCACGGCGTGCCTGTTGAAGTAGTCCATGGTGATGGCGTTGTTCCAGTAGCTCAGGTTGTTCTCGGGGTTGGCCGTTTTCTTCTTTCTCCTCATGCAGCACACAGTCAGCAAGATGGCTGTGGAGACAGGTCAAGTCAGAGGAGGAAGGCCCACGAGGAGAGGGGGGGTGTGTGGCAGCAGCAGCTAGCCGGGCTGGTGGCAGCAGTCAGCAGCTAGGGGGAGCTGTGGAGGCCCCCGGTGGCTCAGCTGCCTTTTAAAAATGGTTCTATTATACGGGTGATGTATGAGGGGCTACAGTCACACCAATGGTTTGCGCTTTCCGTTCCTCTCTGTATCCCCGCCACCCTTCGCCCCTGCTTTCCTCCAAGTGTGGGTAAGCAGGGGGTGCAGAGTGGGTCAGACATCACACACCATACGATGAAGAAAGGAGGAGAATCAGAGAGCAGTAACTATCCAATACAAATAAAATGGCCAGGACACCTGGCCTCCCAGCTACTCAGGAGGCCGAGATCTGGAGCATCATGGTTCAGAGCCAGTCCGGGCAGGAAATGTCCATGAGACTCTTTATAAACTCCAAGGAACCACCAGAAAGCTGAAAATGGAGCTGGGGCTCAAGTGGTAGAGTGCGAAACTGGAGCACAATAGCTCAGGCCCCAGATAACACACACACACACACACACACACACACACACACACACACACACACACGGGCACCAGCAAGGGCTTCATTGAGGCAATGCTCTTAGAGCAAGGAGCCCCTTGAGCCATGCTCTTAAGTCCGATTGGCTTTCTTATTTGGTTTTTAAGATACACTTTTTCTCCCCTTTACTTTGCCCACACTAGCTTCGAACCATGACACCAGTGGATGGGATTACAGGTACGCACCACTGTGCCTGGCTTCCGGCATTCTCCTTTTATAGAGAGAAACCTGGGACCAGTGAGCGGACATAGTGCCTGCAGGAGTCTGAGGCAGCTGAGGGAGGAGTCAGCAGGGAGGACACGGGGTGGGGGGTGCAGTGAGGCTAGGCTGGCCAGGGGAAACTAGGTTGGATGTAAAGAGGGAGAGACAGGGGCTGTGTGCTTGACCCTGGGTGGTCACGGTGGCTTCCCTGGCCAGTCCTGCCTTGGCCCTGCCCACAAAACCTAAGGAGACAAGCTCTTGGTCATACTTCTGGTTCTAGTTCTTTTCTTTTCCTTCCTTCCTTCCTTCTTTCCTCCTCCTCCTCCTCCTCTTTCTCCTCCTTCTTTTGTTGGTTGTGGGGCTTGAACTCTGAGCCTGGGCGCTGTCCCTCAGCTCTTCAGCTCAAGGCGAGCGCTCTATCACTTGAGCCACAGCGCCACTTCCGGTTTTCTGAATGGTTCACTGGAGATAAGTCTCACAGCCTTTCCTGCCCAGGCTGGCTTTGACCCTCGATCCTCAGATCTCAGCCTCCTGAGTAGCTAGGATGACAGGCGTGAGCCACTGGCACCTGGCAATCCTGTTCTTTTTATTGGCATCATTCTGGGCCTAGTTTCCCACCTCTCCCCTTCTCTCTATCATCTCCCTCCCTCCCTCTCTTCCTTCCTGGGGTTTGGACTCAAGGCATGGTAGGCTGGTACTGGGAGAAAGTGCAAAGTGGATGTGTCAGGTTCAAGTAAGTACTGTTTGAGGACCGGCTCAGCGCCAGGCCAGCGGCGAGGTGGTGTGGGCTTTGCGTGTGTGTCCGGAAGGTGGCAGCAGAGACCGGGGCTCGGGAGCCACTGTGCTGCCCAGTGCAGCCTGGATCCAATCCACCAAGCCCAGCTCTCTCCACATGCCTGAGACCATTTGGCCCAGCAAGACTGGCAGGGACCTGGAGACAAGGCATTTCTCAGTCCTGGCACACCCAAGCCCTTGCAGCCATTGGGAGGGCTGGAGACCTGGAAGGGGTAGTTGAATTGCCACTTCCCCGTCTTGGGACAGGACTGGGATTTGTTCTGCTCACCCTCCTCTTCTGGAGAGGAAAGAAGCCCTGACTGCAAGAAGTCCACAATGCCCTTTGACCCTGACCAGGATCCTGGGAATCTTATGCATGTGGTCAATCTGGGCGCTGTCCCTGAGCTCTTTTTGCTCAAGGCGAGTGCTCTACCATTTTGAACCACAGCACCACTTCCAGTTTTCTGGTGGTTCATTGGAGATAGAGTCTCACAGCTTTTCCTGCCCAGGCTGGCTTTGAACCACGATCCTGAGATCTCAGCCTCCTGAGTAGCTAGGATGACAGGTATGAGCCCCTGGTGCCCAGCTGTAAGAACTGTTTTTTTGTTTTGTTTTGTTTTTGTCCAAGGCCAGTGGAACTTCCCACTGCATTCAGCTTTATCTCTAGTAATTTCTCCTAGGATGAAGGGGAGGGGAGGTGGGAAGAGTAGGGATTGTCAGAGGTGGATGTAGGGAGGAGAGGTCATCAAAGGCAAGATGGAGGAGCAGCAGGAGAGGCCGGCCAGTGAGGACTTTGCTGGGGGCTGTAGATTTGGACTCCTGTGGTGCTCGGGTGTCACCTTGTGTTGGAGCTACCAACAGGGAGCTGACCACCCCAGCCCTGCCTCTCTTTAACTCTTGGGTCCTAGTAAAGCCACATCTGCTCTCTGTAAAACATAGCCTTGAATTGGATTGAGTAAGGAAACTTTTCTGGATATTTATAACATCATTATGGTGTCACATGAAATGACCAATGCAAAGAACTGGGTGAGCCAAGCACCGGTGAAGTGGTGCTATGGCTCAGGTGGTAGAGTGCTGGCCTTGAGCTGAAGAGCTGAGGGACAGTGCCCAGGCCCAGAGTTCAAGGCCCACCCCTCCCCCCCACCAAGAGAAAGGCAAAGAACTGGGTGTCAGTGGCTCATTCCTGCAGCGGAGAGGAAATGGAGATCTGAGGATTCCAGTTCAAAGTCAGCCCGCACAAGAAAGTCTTTGAGGCTCTTATCTTCTCCCAATTAACCTGCAAAAAGCTGGAAGCACCCAGGCCCCATGCATAACCTACCAAAAAAATCCAAACAATCCCCGCCTCCTCCTCCCAACCAAAATAAGAGCTGGAAGTGGATCTGTGGCTCTACTTGAACAAAGAAGCTAAGGGACACTGCCCAGGCCCTGAGTTCAAGCCCTAGGGCCAACACACAGATGTGCTCTCACACACATACACACACATTGGAGATGAGCAAAGCAGCGTGGGAAGGGGTGAGGACAGAGGGTATGGGAAGAGGAGTCGTGGCCGGGGACGGGGTACTCACAGCAGGAGGAAATCGGGACACTGATGGTCAGGATCACCCAAGCGATGTCCACCTTGCTCAGGCAGACGGTGGCTCTGGGCTGGGCTTTGTCCCCTTCGGCCACGTGGGAGCTGTTCCCTGCCGTTCCAGGCTTCCAGGTGCCCGCGGGCACCAGGCGGTTGAGGAAATTCCCGGTGGCTGTGGATGGTGTTGTGGACAGGGGGCTGGGCCCCCTGTCGGTCACTGGTGGCGAGGCCGTGGCATCGGGCCTGGCTGGAGGGACAGTCCTGTCTGACACCCCGGGGTGCCAGGCTGGGGATTGCGGGGGGACAGACACTCCCTGAGGAATCTGCTGGGAAGGGGCTGAGACGGAGGCAGCCGGGGTGGGCTCTGTGGCTGCTGTGAGGACCCCAGGGCTGGCAGATGGGTATCTGTGGGTGCCAGGGGTGCCAGTGAGCCGAGAGTCGCTGGGGCTGTCCTGAGAAGGCACTGGGGTGGGCTGCGGGCTGGCAGGGACCCCTGAGGCGACACTGGCATCTGGGGGCTCCTCCGGGATGGTGGGGGTGACTGTGCCCCCCTGCTGGTCTCTGCGTGGGTCCAGCTCGTCCTCTGCAGGCACTGGGGAGGGTGTGGGAGGCGCCCACGAGGTACTTCTGGGATCCAGGGTGGTCACGGTCGTGGCTTGGGGTGGGGGCAAGGAGGAGGTGCCCCACAATGGGGTTCCGGATGGGAGGGGGGAGGGGGGGTCCGGTTCCACGGATCTGGTAAAGTTGCCTTTGTAGATCTGGAAGATTTTGCCCAGGGGCCGCTTCTGCCCCGGGTAGGGGGCGCTCAGGTTTCTCCCCCGCTGCCCTTCCTTCCTCCCGAGGTGGCCACCAGGGGGCAGAGGGCGCGACAGACCCCCGGCTCCCTTCCTTGGGGAGCCTGGGGGCCTGGGGGGCCTGCGCGTGGGCCCCCTTGGGGACATTGTGGAGGGGCGGCTGGTGGCTCCGGTGGGCTGGGTCAGCGGGTGGCTGGGGGTGGTCCTCCTGGGGGGGCGGGCCTCTGAGGAGGAGGGTACAGTTGCCACAGCAATGGGAGGGGACCTGGTGGGCAGGGGGGCCGGAGTGGGGAGGATGGTGGTGGGGACGGTGGTCCCGGCTGCAGGGTGCCTGTCTGGCTGGGGTGCTGTCCACGTGGTGGCTGCAGCCTGTGCGGAGGACCCTTCAGGCCGGGGGTCCGGTGTCACTGAGGGGTGTCCAGCGGAGCTGGGGCGGGGGGCTGTCACCATGGTGCCTGGGGGTCTCGCTGGGGGAAGGATGTGGGAAGAATTCCGGGGGGAGGCTCCCTGGACAGCCAGTACCAGTGCTTCAGTCAGTGCCAAGGTGAGGAGAAAGCCTGGAGGAGAGTGGGGGACAGGAGGAGGGGGAACAAAAGGAGGGGGGAACAGGTGAGACCCAGGAGTGGTGGCTAGGCAGGGCCATCCTTAACCGTGACCTGGGAATTGTGGGCCCACTGGAGCCCAGGCCCTTGACAGGACAACTGAACCACAGACAGAGCCATCACTGGTCTAGACGTGCTTGACTTTAGTCACCCTGGCTACACATGGAGATATTTAAAATAGTCCCCTCCCTCCCCAATGTTTGGTCTAAGCAACCTATTTTTTTCTTTTCTATTATTATTATTTACTGCCAGTCCCGGGGCTTGAACTCTGGGCCTAGACACTATCCCTGAGCTTCTTTTGCTCAAGGCCAGCACTCTACCACTTGAGCCACAGCGCCACTTCTGGCTTTTTCTGTGGAGGTGTTACTGAGGAATTGAACCCAGGGCTTTATGCATGCTAGGCGAGCCACCTTGCCAGCCCTGAGGGCCGGCTCTTGAGTGAGCTGCCAGGCTGCTGACTTTCCTGCTTGATTTCCCCATCTAGCTGGCTCTGAGGCTGTCTGATCTTGAGTCTCTGACTAGAGCTGAGCGGCACAGACCACACGGCTGTGCCTTCTTGTCAACTCACGCTGAGTTCCCATTTCCAGGCAAGATGCCCACCCCCCATGGTATAATTTCTATCCTGGGCAGGATTTGGATTTCACAGCTGGATTCTGAGAGTCAGCCTTCCAGGGTATACGCATTTGGGAATGAAAGCTTCCCTCCCTCTCTTTCAGGTACTCTACACCTGTCCACCACTACCAGCACTGGTTTCACCAGGATGCTTAATTTCCATGCACTGAGCAAAATGTCATGAAAGAAAAGAAAAGAAAAAAAGAAAGAAAAGAAAAGAAAGAAAGAAAGTCTTCAGATGATTCTAATGGTACCAAAGTTGAGGTGTTCTGCCCTTAGGGGAATCGGTGCCCAGTTCTGGTGCAGAGGACGCGGATGCCTGTTGCCATGGTAACAGATGAAGAGGCTGGACACGGGAGCCACACAGCTGCAGGTCTGTGGCCTGCAGCTCATTTCCATCCCGGCCAGCCTGGCTTCTCAGGTACTTTTTTTTTTTTTTTTCTGGAAACAATGCCCTCTGGCTGCCAGGCTTCTTTGCTCCCAGCCAGTTACTTATCTCCAGGGAGCCAAGAACAAACAAAATCTAACCTGTCTGCCCTTGGGGAAGTAATTTGCATTTGTAAAGCATGACCTCAAAAGATGTGTTTGTTATTCTAGGCAGCTGGCTCACCCACTAGCCTGAGGTGGGGCAGCCACCCATCCCTGGTCTAGTAAGTGTGCAAGAAAGCTGGCAGACAGCAGTCCAAGACACGTGTGTGTGTGCACGCGTGTGCGTGTGTGTGGGTAAGCTCCTAATGGTGCTGGATTCCACAGAGTAGGAGTGGACCCTTAACTAATGCCCCACTAACGCCTGGGGTATGCAAACTTATTTGTTTGTTTATTTTTGCCAGTTGTGGGGCTTGAACTCAGGGCCTAGGCACGGTCCCTGTGCTCTTTTGTTCAAGACTAGTGCTCTACCACTTTGAACCACAGCTCCACTACAGGTTTTTGAGTGGTTATTTGGAGATAAGAGTCTCTTGAGGACTTTCCTGCCTGGGCTGGGTTTGAATTGTGACCCTTAGATCTCAGCCTCTTGAGTAGCTAGGATGACAGGTGTGAGATACCAGCGTCTGGTGACGGTTTTTGTTTGTTTTGTTTATTTTTTCTTGCCAGTCCTGAGACTTGAACTCTGGGGCTGGGCACTGTCCCTGATTGAGCCTCTTTGTGAGCAAGGCTGACACTCTTATCATTTGAGACACAGCACCACTTATGACTTTTTTTGAGTAGTTTATTGAAGATAAGAGTCTCATGGGGACTTTTTTGCCTGGGTTGGCTTTGAACTCTGATCATTAGATCTCAACCTCCTGAGTAGCTAGGATTACAGGTGTGAGCCGCCGGTGACTGGCTTTTGGTTCTTTCTTTCTTTCTTTTTTGTCCAACACTGGGACTTGAACTCAGTATCTGACACTTTTGATCACTGGCAGGTGACTGAGTCACGCCTCTAACCCCTTCTTTTGGGATTCCAAGTAGATGGGTATCGTTTTTTAATCGCTGAATCCCAAATTCTGCCCTTGTTCTTCAGTGGGGTCTCACAGAGGAACCCTCACTGTGGGGGCAGACATAACCTCCACTGTTAGTTAAATCTGATTCTCTACAAAGGTTCCAAAAACATGCCTGGGAGAAAAGATAACCCTTTAAAAAAAACGGTGCTGGGAAAACTGGATGTCCACATGTAGGAGAGACTACAACCAGATCCCTATGTTTCCTACTATGTGAAAATCAACCCAAAAATTGATCAATGACCTTGTAAGACTCAAAACTTGGAAATTACTAGAGGAAAACATGTCAAGACACAGGCATAGGTAATGACTTTCTCGATAGGACTCAACAGCTTGGGAAATATTAGCAAGAATCAATAAGCGAAATCGTTATCATAAAAGAAACAATGATCAAATTGAGAAAAACAGCCTACAGAATGGGAGAAAACCTTTGCCAGTTCATCCAAAAGGGGGAATGATACTCAAAATATGTAAAGGACTCAACATGTTAATAAACACGACAAGAACATCCCCATGGAAAAATGGGCAAATGAACCAAACAGATCATTCTCAGAAGCAGTACAAATGATCAGTGAACACGTGGAAAAATAGCCAACATCCTTCACAATCAGGGAAATGCAAACCACACTGTAATCAGACTCCATTTTCCCCCCACCCCCCATCAGAATGGCCATCTTCAAGAAAATACCCATGACACATGTCGGTGAGGATGTGGAGAGAAAGAAGGAACCTTTACACACTGTTGGTGGGAATGTAAATAAGTGTAGCCGCTGTGGAAATCAGTATGGAATTTTCTCAAAACAAGCAAGCAAGAAAAAAAATCATCTAGAGTTAAAACTAATGTATAATCCAGTTATACCATAAAGCTCCTCATTTCCCTCTGCATTCAAATCCACCCACCTCTAAGTAACTCTGATTTACATTGTTATAGGTTTGTTCCCATCTGTTCCAGATTTTTACGAAAGTGGAATTCGGTAGAATCCTTTGGGTCTGGTTTTCACTCAGCCATAACATCTGTGAAGTTTGTCCATTTGCTGTGTGTATTTGTGTATTGTTGGTTTCCCTCCCTCCCACTCCCCCTCCCTCCTTTTCTTCCTTCCTTCCTTCCCTCCTTCCTTTCTTCCTTCCTTCCTTCCTTCCCTCCTTCCTTCCTGTCCTGGGGCTATGAACTCAGGGCTTAGGCACTGTCCCTGAGCTTTTTTTGCTCAAGGCGAACGCTCTACCACTTGAGCCACAGTGCCACTTTCAGCTTTTTCTGTGTATGTAGTACTGAGGAATTGAACCCAAGGCTTCAGGCATGCCAGGCAAATACTGTACCACTAAGCCACATTCCCAGCCCTTGGTGATTTCTTTTCTCTTTTTGTAGGTTGTGGGGCTTGAACTCAGGGTCTGGGACTAAGCTCTTTTGCTCAAGGCTAGCACTCTACCACTTTGAGCCACAGCTCCACTTCTAGTTTTCTGGTGGAGATAAGAGTCTCAGGGATTTCTCTGCCTGGCCTGGCTTTAAACCATGATCTTCAGATCTCAGCCTCCTGAGTAGTAGCTAGGATGACAGGCATGAGCCACTGACGCCCGGCTCCTTTTAATTTTAAGCTGCCAAGTAATACTCTATCACATGGTCATACCCATCATTCCTTCATCTGATTATGAACACAATTGAGTTGTCTCCAGCTTAGAGCTATTTTCAGTGAAGCCCACTGTGAACATTTGTTTACAGGCTTTTGTGTGGACATGTTTGTGTCTCTCTCAGGTCAACACCTAAGATAAACATAACCTCCTATTATGTGGTGTATCTGTAGGAGGAAAAAGTAACAGTGCCAATGAAACTATGAACGGATGCCCTCTTCTATTTACCATATACATTTCATATCTCCTGGAACAGCTGCCTTGGACTCGCCTAGACTGCTCCACAGACATCTCTGCTGCCTTCTTTTTCTCTGTGGGGTGAGTAACTGCGTTACCTGCCAGTCCTTCTGTGAGCAGCTCAAGGCAACCCCCCCACACAAATAACCCAAAACAAAAAAACCATGCAGCCCAACTTCGAGTGCTTTGCAAGCATCTTCGGATCGTTGGTCCCATTTATAGAGTTTGCGTGTTGAAGAAAGCCATTCTTATAATGAGAATTTGTTCCAAAAATAGGAGATACTGCTGTCTTATTGTGTCTGCCTGTCAGCGTTTGGGAGCTTTTGATTAGAGCCCACATCACGGGTGATCTTCGCAACCAGATGATCCCGTGTGCTTAAAACCAAGTCCTCAAGAGTTGAAAAACCAAGCCCTAGCAGGGTGCTGGTGGCTCACGCCTGTCATCCTAGCTGCTCAGGAGGCTGAGATCTGAGGATCGCAGTTCAAAGCCAGCCTGGGCAGGAAAGCCAACGAGTGGAACTCTTACCTCCATTTAAGCACCAAAAAGCTGGAAGTGGGTGGAGTTGTGGCTCAGGCGGTAGAGCGCTAGCCCTCAGGGACAATACCTAGGCCCCTGAGTTTAAGCCCCAGGCACCCCAAAAATACCACCCTCCAAAAACAACAACAACAACAAAATCCAACTCATAACCTCAACACAACAGGTGGCTCTTTTCCTAACCTTATCTCCAAATGTTCCAATACTTCCAGCCACACCTTTACGTCTTGAACGGTTATCACCCCCAAGTGGGGATCTTAGGGTGTTAACTTGGTAGGACCCCCGAAAACAACATCCTCTCCCTTGCCTGCCCTCCTCCCCTTCCCCCTCCACGCCGGGGAGCTCAGCCAGGCTCTCCATTTACGTCATGAATTATGCATCAGAGTGCGAAAGGCCCATCATTTCCAAGTAAGCAAATCAGAATTGAACTGTAGCTAGTTTTTTTTTTTTTCTCTAAGCATGTGCTT